ACGATCTAATGTTTGGCGGATATTGAATTTATGTTTGGGAAATAAGCTGTATTCAAGTCTTCACTGAATGTGTTTCCAAATGGAGTATAGGAAACGAAACAAAAAAATATAAAGACGTTTTTCTATATATATATATATTGGTGCAGAATTGCTGTGGGTGGAAGAAGGGCGTAGAACAAACAAGTTTTATCTGTTCATAGAAGTGTACATAAATATACTTAGGAAGACCGCTGGCTACCTTTGACCAATCTTAAACAGATCAAAGGGATCAAAGACTTATAGTTTTATTCGAGCAAAAGGGAAGATATAAACACACGCGCGCGCCCTTCTGAAAAGGTTTCAGAATCGAAGGGGTGTACCGCCACCCATCGGGTTGCGGTTCTCTTGCACTTTATTTCTCCTCAATAACGCCTCTCAGAGTTTTGATCCGAAAACTTTCCAGATACATCCTCCAACTTTTCCACCAATTAATTAGCTCGCGAAAACAATACTTCTTTTTTTTTGTACACATTTTGTTTCCATCTGCGAGTTTCCAATGTCAATACATGAATGTGTATGAGGAAAACCACACATGATTCTTTAACATCATAAATAAATACGTTTTTTTTTTTTTTATTTTCACCATTCCACTATTTTCCACCATCGCCAATTAATTAGATCGCGAAAACAATACTTCTTTTTTTGTATACATTTTGTTTCCATCTGCGAGTTTCCAATGTCAATACATGAATGTGTATGATGAAAACCGCACTTGATTCGTTAACATCATAAATAAATACGTTTATCTTCAAAATTTTCACCATTCCACACATTTCCACCATCACTAATTAATTAGATCGCAAAAACAATACTTCTTTTTTTTTATACATTTTGTTTCCATCTGCGAGTTTCCAATGTCAATACATGAATGTGTATGAGGAAAACCACACATGATTCTTTAACATCAAAAATAAATACGGTTTTTTTTCTAAATTTTCATTATTCCATACATTTCCACCATTACCAATTAATTAGCACGCGAAAATAATACTTCTTTTTTCTTTGTTTCCATCAGCGAGTTTGCAATGTCAATTCATGAATGTGTATGAAAACCGCACTTGATTCTTTAACATCATAAACTTTAATGGATTTACTTTTTAGTTCTCCTAATGGCCGCATAAGAAGCTGAAGCTCATGAACATCCAGGATTTATACAGCTCTAAAAGCCGCTGCAAATCGTTTTCAACTGAATCACTATCAAATTACCATAAGACAAATTAAACTTACATTCGAGCATCACATTTAATACATTACACTTCAAAATATTAGTTTTAAAGTTACATTTTCAACTTTCTTATTCGTTTTACCCTATAAATTTGCATCCACACAAGCTTTGATATAAGACATTTTGTCAGGTGTACCAGTTTACTATTATGTGATATAAATAGTACATCAATTAGGGTAGTTTAGAGAATTTGATAACTTTTTTTCTTTACTTGTATTCATATAATAAAATGTTACTTTTATATAATCAAGAAAATCCAATAATTGTCTCATACAAGCAAAATTATTATCTAATTAATTTAGTTAACATATACATCAATACCTCGTGTAGTCCGGATAATAGCTTTGACCAACATTCAAACCGGACTATAGTAAATCCGAACTGATCGAAGCTGGAGGTATTATATAAATGATTTCTAAAAGGTGTCTCATGCATTCAATATTATAATTAATAATTTGTTTAAACAGAAGCTACCAAAAATTCTTCATATTTTCTATATGACATTTATAAAAATATGTATAATTAGAAACCATGAAAATATATAGACTAATTAATAATATGAAATAATCGTTGGAATTATTCAACCATTTTAACAATTAATTAATGTTTTGGGAAAATATATTCAAATCGTTTTGGTGTGTGATTAATTAATCATGGGAAACGCATATTCCCGATGGTGTTGCTTTTGAAATGTTTGTTAACAACTTCAATTTATATTTGTAGAGCGTAGGTAATAAGCATATGGATGTGCATGATTATAATGAACCTATGCATGCATATTCTAATATGGATTCTCTCTATTAAATAATTTAAATAATATATTATAATAAATAAATAGCTTTGTATAATCAAAATTTAAATGCTGAAATAATATCCAACATTTCAGCGCTGAAATTGGCAGTAAAACTGCAAAAATTTCTTATTTTAATGACAAAGTTTATATAACATAACATATTTTTAAAGCAATAAATTTTCAATACTAATTAATTTATTGCTTTGTCTATACTCTTGTATACTCATAAAAATAAATATGATTTGTTGAAAGATTCTGAAGTTCAGACAATAATTGTTTAAGTTTTTCAAAATTGCTGAAAATGAATGATTGATATATTAATCCTTTGAGTTCTAGTGGTATCATCACAAGACCACATTCTAATACAATGTATGCGCTACCATACCATTGTTTATTGGTGTCAAAAACAATTTAAACCTTTCCGGATGAACGGCGGATATATTCGCCCTATTCGTTATAAACGAGACTACGCTTATGTAAAATTATCTACTAGTTCATTATCAAATTTTACTTCAAAACGAAGTCTTTTCAGTCTGAAACGTAAACGCTTTGACGTCAGATCTGTGTTACTGAAATATGTGAAAAAAACCAGTTGAAATTGCGATCTTGAAAAATCTTCATCTGCAAAGGTTTAAATATTATTCAAACAAGAATTATTTACATAGAATTAGTATACTTAAGTTAAAAGTGACATTTACAAATTGGACAAAACATGGTTAGAATTTAGATTAAATTAAGATATTGATATAAAAATCAAATATGTTCGAAATGAATTGGACAATTAATGAGATGTACTGGGTATAAGAGCAACTAAATCCTGTTAATTGTGTGTGCGTTTTTCTTTTTGTGATGAGAGAGGAGTGAATACAGTCGGGATTTCGGACGAAGTCGCAGGACCCTCGTCATTGTCACGCGTTCAGAGATTTCGACGTAGCGACATCATCATCCTTCAGGGGGCAACCTTCGAAGGACCTAAGCCCGAGATTGCGCACGAGTTTACCGCAATCCACCTCGCAGCCTCCTCTATTCCTTCTATCCACCTCTGCTTCTACCGCCTTCTCGTTCACGCCGCCTCCCCTTATCTTATCAGGGACAATTCGATTCCGCACATACACCTAATTCCCATTCCGACGAAACGCACCGCTAATTAGACGCCACCGGAATAACTCCGACGACGCCGCCGGAATAATGAAACAATGCCCATCTCCAACAGAATATGTATACGAAATACAAAAAGGTCTGCACAGACTCCAGGTTTTCAGATAACTCGAACACACACACAATGGAATATACCCGTGTCTCTTTTATTCTCTCTCTCTGTTTCTATTTATTTCTCATTCTCGCTCATCCTTCACCGCCCTTATTTTATCTTTGTCAGACTTTATGGAATTGGGATGGGTGGGTTGGAAACGTACGCTAAAAAAGAAACAGTAACACACGAACTCGCTTGAATTGGCATGATGAGAATAACTGTTTTTTTTCTTCTTCTGTGAGATGTTAGAATCAACTGGATGAACACTAATATACATGGATACAGAGATAATGCCGAAAACTGTTCAACATTTGTCTGTAAATCTCAATGTGAGAAGATAATATCCCAATGTACATTATAAATATTAACAAAAACCATGTGTTGAATTTAGAGGATAATCCCGACTCTTGGAATTAACGTTTTAAATCCTGGAATTATTAGGAATGTAATATTAACAATGAAAATACTAAAAATTAAAAAAAAAAATCCCCGGGAAATCTCGGGAATTTACAAACTGTCCCAACAATCCCAATTCCTGAAATTGACTGATTTTACATTATATGATTTGTAAGATGTTACATCGTTATATATTTATATAATATTTTTTTGACATTATTATGACACGACGTCTCTCCCTCACTCTATTTTTTATTTCCCCGTTTCACGATCTTGGGTTTTATTTTGTAAGTTTGTATAATATAAATAGATTATACGAGGGCAACTCTCCAGGGGAAATCCTTCTTTTAGTATGTGGCTCGTTAAATTTTACTACATGCGACGTAAGACATAATGACTTCTCAGCGGTTGAAAGTATAAGAAAAAAAAATTACGAATCCACCTAACAAGACTTATTTGATATTTTACGAAAAATTGCATCAGCAATTTGTATAATCCAAATGTACATTTAATACATATAAAAATTTCATTTTATAAAAAAAAAATCACAATCAAATATTTTTATTAAAAATGTAAAAAAAATGGTAATTTAAATTTTGTAATTATATATAATTTGTTTAATACATGAAATTATAATTATTAGAAATTATATAATTTAATGAATGGAATATGCAATTCGAAATACGATTGAATTATTCGCAGGTTGCGTAATGAGTTGTTTTGTTAAATATGATTATTTTCGTTACGAATCACGGGCTGTTGTTGAAATGAACGTGGAATTAATCATGACTTTAAAGCTACACTTTATAAATGGTTTAATCAATATCAATAAAGCGCGTTTCAATACGTAAACATTATTTGGCTATTAGGATCAGACGCACAAAAACGGTTATTCGCCAATAAAAAAAAAACATGTGCTGTAATGGTAGAACTGTAGGGAGTATAGGTGATTCAGTAGGCTTCATATATTCTTTTTGTGTGATCATTCCACATATTATGGCCGTATATAGGAAAGGACCATCGAATCAAGGAAACCCACGTAGGAGCTGTTTAAGATTAAAAAGCTACGCCGTTCGCTAATCTTCAAGTCTTCGCACGTCCCAAAACCTCCATGAAACATTAAGAATTCCCGGATATAAGCCTGAGGAGAATCCCAGGATCAAACGTTGTATAATTGACACACTTATTGAGAAACTTTCATCATTATTTTTGTTTTCTTACAAACATTTACTATTTCAGTATTTCCACTCAAAAACATATTATAATTATAACTAATATATTTTTTTTTGTTTCAGTTTGTAACAGGACTTATTACGGGGACGTCTCAAAAACCTATGATCTGAAGGTGCTCAAACAACCCGACAATCGTCTACCGTTCCTATGCCATCTAACTTTCACTGCCAACGGCCAAAGTCACGGAGATATTGTTCAGGTAAGATCATTTCAATATTGTCATACCTTTGTTTATTTTTTCATCCATTTTCCATTTGGATTAATGCAAATCTGGCGGATTTCTCGAAATTTTAAAATATGTTAATGCACGTCTGAGGAGGGGAAAGTAATGAAATAAAATGCATAAAATACCGTCCGCGCCCGGTGTATAAATTCATCAGAGGATTTACATTCGTTAATCAGAATTAAGGGATGAAGCAGACGAGGACTGGATGAAAAAAAAATAAAAAATTGGATATATAAAAAGCAAAGTTTTCTTTAAGCCCTGGAATTATACAGAATATAAATGCATTCGGCTTAAAATATATATATATTTAATAATAACAGAAGGAAAAGTCGTTTCATTCGACGCAAATATACATAATTCATTCAAGTCGTTAATTATTTAATTACTAATTTATTAATTTACTAATTATAAACATTTTGCTCTTGTATATTTAAGAAGATATTAATGTTATTTTGTAAATAGAGTTATTTTTCGTTCATTTGGAAATTATTTTTTTACATGTTTTAAAAAGATATTCCTGCATTTTTATAGATTTGTTTTCTCAAAAACAAATATAATTACATAATTTTATTTAAATTTGAATATGTATTGATATAATTTATTAATTTTAATTATTAATTCATTTATTTGTAAATTATTTCTGCATAAGAAATTACGGATATTTGGTAAATTAAATTTATTTTTACAAAAAGCAAACTATAAATTCACCTAAATACAAATAAAATTTGCTCCAATCTATTAACTATAATTATATAACAACTTTAAAATTAGAAAATTACTAAAATTTCATTTAATTAATTAAATAAGAAACTTTGATATTGAAAGTAACTACTAAAGTAATATTAAGAATTATGAACAAGTCTCATTAATATAAAGGTTGATTTAGTTATGTGTGAAGTTAAAGTATTTTTTGTGTAGAATGGTCTAGTGGAAACGTAATGTGAAACTCATTACACTATATGAAAGACATTAGTATCCGAATTTACGATATAACTGTGAATTACTTACGATCTGCCTAATGCGGAGTTTCTAAATGGACATTAGGAATGGAATTTATAATGTAGGATTAGAGAACAATTAGCTTTATATCATGACTAAAAGGAAGTCAAGGACCAAGAATAATGTACTTTACACATAATAGACTTAAGGACGAATTAATAAGGATATTTTATTAAAATTTTATTTTACATTTTAATATTTTGTATTATTAAATTCCAATTTGCACCTTGAAAGTAATTTAATAAACATCAACAATTTATAGAAGTAAAAGTTGCAAATAAATTATACTTGTAATTGCATAATTAAGGAATTTTTATTGTGCTTAATTTTCAAACCGGATTATAGCGAATCCGGACTGATTGAAGCCGCACTATGATGTACTTGTTTAATATATAATACGTTATTCATAAAGTACTAAGTTGTGAGTAAAAATGTTCAAGCTTTAATAATTCTACGTATAGAAATATCTGCATTTATTAAATGCGTATAAATGTAAATATTTCTATATGTAGAATTATTAAAGCTTGAAAATTTTATTCCTAAACAAAATATATAACATTTTTGTAGATCAATAAATTCGTCTTTGCATTGTATATGTAATTAAATGAACTGTTTTAATTGTTATAAATTGTTACCAAAATAATAATTTAAATTCAGCAAACTTTGTGAAAGTTAAATTAAATTAATTTTCTAATTAATAAATCAATCAAATTATTTGCAATAATCGTTTACAAATTATATAAGTTTTAATTATTTATTATTTGCATATATATTTTTGTTTTTATAGGAATTTATTTATACAAAATATTTTATTTTAATAAAGTTTTATATAATGATGAGAGTATTAGTTTTTAATATGTTTTAATATAGAAATGTGTATATTAGTGCAGATTTGTAACTCAAATTATAGTTTATTTGAAAATAAATTATTTTTTAACTAATTATATTAAAATTATTTCTGATATTAGTGTAACAATTCGCAATACAACAAACTTTATTATATAACAATATAGCAATTTATGCGGATTCATCAGAGTATACAAATTTAGTAATTTAGTAATATTAGAATGTACCTAAATAATTAGTAATAGTCAGCGGCCTTTGTGCAAATAATGTTATTCGGGAAAGTTTAATATATTATATAGTAATCGAATTGCATTATTTGCTGAGCTACGACAATTAGAATGGTGGCTGTAAAATGTATGAATATTACTGCTGCGGAATCCCCACGTTCGAAGCGGGAATCATAACGAATTCAGGTGGAGAACGTTTCGAACTTTGTTTGCATAGGCAACGCTGATTTCCTTCATGTAAAAGTGCTTGCTTAACGAAATTCAGGAAGTCGGCTAGGATCGATTGTGCCGATTCCGTGCCGTTTCGAGTTGCATTTGGGAAACTGTTTGATGTTCGGTCGGCTTTAATTGCGAAAGCCGTTTGGAACAATTTCGCGGTGTTCGCTTCCTACCACCCTCGCTCACATTTGGGGTGACAGAAATCAGTTTTCGGAATATGTTAGTGCAGTGGACGGATGATGGGCGAGTTGACAAGGGATCCTACTGCTCTTGCTCAACCTACTCTGTGCCCTTCTGACCCGCAACGTACGTGTGTAAATGCGTGCTGAATAATTTCATAATCCTGTTAATAATTGCCCTCGCGCAACGGCAGGTTGCGCTTCAGCTGGCATCAGAAGCTTCGCAAACATCACACAAACTCTGGCCACCTACAAATTCCGTAATTATTCCGAACGTTCGTACCATGTTGAAGCTGATGTTGAAGCTGATGTGGATGCGGACGTGTGCATATATATATATATACACATGTGTGTATGTTGAATGCAATCGCCAACGACTGCATTATTAATGTCCGATGAGTAATGTTTCTATGTGGGTTGGAAGAGAGTGTGTGGCATATGTCTGCATGCTTTCGATGGCCATCGAATATAATTCATCAATCGCCGCCCCAGAGCACATGCACGTCCCAATCCTATCCAAATGCACAGACAACAATTTCCAATGGAATGTCCGACCTTTGCGCCAATTTGCATTGTCATTACTGTTAGTGTGTGTGTGTAAGGGTTGATGTTTGGTGGGGTGGTAGTGAGGGGGTGTCGGTTTTCCAAAATAATTTTATCACTCCGACCGGTAATTGAATGAACCCTCCACAGGCACTTTACCTAACCATGCGATATTCCCGACCAAACCATAGCCCAAATATCCAACTATGCGCAATAATCATGTTTATTTGTGTCTTCTACAACATTAACATTTGTTAATTTAACAAGACCTGTTGATTTCTGTATCTTTCAAGAAATTACTGCTGTTTCTATATAAGATCTTTGAGCAGGCAAGTTTATTGATTATACATCTATCCCTCGGTTCACGCGGTACTTAATTTACACGTTTTCGCTTTTACACGGTTTAAAAACATAATAAATGTTGAAAATAATCTATCCCTCGTTTTACATGGTACTTTTCTTTACACGTTTTCGCTTTTACACGTTTTAAAAACATAATAAATATTGTCGTTTAACACGGTAGAGAATACATGTTTTTACTTCTACTTTTACACGATCCAAAAAATTAAATTAAAAAAATAGTTTTGAATATAAACTGGCTATGATCAAAAGCAACAATTTTTTGCATTTGAATATTTTTGTTTGATTTATGTACCTTGAAATAAAATTTAAAAAGATCATAGTTACTAAATAACGAAATTATGCGGTTTTTCGATTTACACGGTTTTACGTTCAAAAAGTTACAATTTCAATTTACACGTTTTTCATATAAACTTATCTGCCATGTAAATCGGGGGATAGGTGTATTTAAAAAAAATGACCTACATAAAAGCTAATCGATAATTACAAAGGTTACAATGAAAAAAATGTATAAAATTATCATTAGAACATTCTCGTATTTTACTTCGTTTACTTTCAATTTTAAATTAACTTTATTTACATTTGTCTTTAGTTATCACAAAAAAAAATTGAAATACATTTGTAATATCTTGTTTATATATTTTTTACGTTGCAACGTGCAATATAAATTTACATTTTCTTCTTCCTTCCCTCTTCTTCATTTGGCTTCCGCATTACGCGCCAATAAGCCAGCCACTGTAATTTACATTTAAAAAAAATATGTAATAGCCCTAAGGGCTAGATCAAAGGGCTAAGAACAAATTATTTTATTTCACTTGTTTTAATATATTAATATTACTTATTTTAATTGATTTTTCTTATTCAAAAAAAGTTTTGTTTTAGTTTAATTAAATTTAGCAATGACTGAGATGTTTTATCTTTTTATCAATTACTTAACACGTAGATGTCTTTATGATATCAACAATGCATATTACCTCTCATAGTGCGTGTAATCGTTTCCGCCTATATATCGGCTGAGATGTTTTATCTCTGTATCAATTACTTAACACATGTATCGTATAATGTGTTGATGTCTTTATGATATCAACAATGCATATCAATACCTCGCATAGTGCGTGTAATCGTTTCCGCCTATATCCCGGACTAATCGAGATATTTGTATTTTAAAAACTGGTGGAAATACAATTAAAAAGATAGATATGAAAATTTTTATTAGCCCTAATTTGGGTCAAAGTGTTAAGACTAAATATATTCTGTTCTAATCCAAAAAATGTTTTGTTTTAGTTTAATTCATGTAAATTTATCAATGGCTGAGATGTTTTATCTCTTTATCAATTACTTAACACATGTATCGTATAATGCGTTGATGTCTTTATGATATCAACAATGTATATCAATACCTCGCATAGTGCGTGTAATCGTTTCCGCCTATATCCCGGACTAATCGAGGTATTTGTATTTTAAAAACTGGTGAAATAGAATAGTTATTTTTGTTCGAATTAAATGATTTTAAGCGATTTTATCTTGTTGGAATAAAGTTGGCGAATGAGTTTCATGAAGAATATTAAATAGTTGAACTTTTCTGTCTCTAAGTGATCAT